AGGGCTTTTTTTGTAGCAGGAATTCCTTTGCATGTTAGGCCACACACCCCTAATGTAGCCAATCCTAATGAATTTCTGCTGTTGGGTGTGGCCTGTTATGCTAATGAGTTCCTGCTGGGTGTGGCCAACTCGGGAGCCAACCGGAACTCCGTTCCTGTGCGTTCCTACCCAAAAATAGCCCTGGTATTCAGCATAATACTTCTTTCCCACTTTGACACAAATGGGGGGGGGGAACTAGTATGTTGAGGTGCAAAATCCACATGGACTCTTCCGCAGACTTTCCCTCCTGGTTGTTCTTTCATGAAGGAAAAGCACTGTGTCTGAACAGTTCATAGGAAGGCCCTCAAAGCAGACACCAGTACTGATGGAGGAGACAAAAATCCATTTGGTTTGAGAGCCAGAGTGGCGTAGTGGTTAGAGCAGGGGTGTTGAACTCATTTGTTATGAGGGCCGGACCTGACATAAGCCTTATACCAAACCAGACCCTTGGTCCATCAAGTCTCTTGCCTACTCAGACTGGTAGCTGCTCTCCGGGGTCTCAGGTAGAGGTCTTTCCCATCCCCTACAACCTGGTGTTAGGGGCTGTGGTGGCTCGAGTGGTTAAGACGCTGAGCTACAGACCGGAAGGTTGGTAGTTCGGCAGTTCGAGACCTGAGTGCCGCGTGATGGAGTGAGCTCCCGTCTCTGGCCCCAGCTCCTGCCAAACTAGCAGTTTGAAAGCAAGAAGTCGTAAGTAGATCAATAGGTACTGCTTCGGTGGGAAGGGAACAGCATTCCGTGCGCCTCGGTGTCCAGTCATGCCGGCCACGTGACCATGGAGAAGTCGTTGGACAGCGCTGGCACTTCGGCTTGGAAATGGAGACGAGCACCGCATCCCTAGAGTTGGATTCGACTGGCTTTTGAGCGAGGGAAACCTGGAGGAGGAGGAGGAGGAGGACTGGATTTATACCCCGCCCTTCACTACCCAAAGGAGTCTCAGAGCGGCTAACAAACTCCTTTCCCTTCCCCTCCCCACAACAGACACCCTGTGAGGTAGGTGGGGCTGAGAGAGCTCTGACAGAAACTGCTTTTTTTCAAGAACAGCTGTGCCAGAACTATGGCTTGCCCAAGGTCATCCAGCAGGTGCAAGTGGAGGAGTGGGGAATCAAACCCAGTTCTCCCAGATTAGAGTCAGCTCCACTGCAGGCCTGATAGAAGCATGTTTGACACCCCTGTGTTAGTGTCGAACTAGGGTCTGGGAGACCCAGGTTCGAATCCCCACTCTGCCGCAAGCCTGATGGGTGACTTTGGGCCAGTCACACACACTTATTGTTGTTATGAGGAAAAAATGGAAGACAGAAGGGTGACGTCAGCCTCTTCGTGTGCCCACGGGGAAGAAAGGCTGGGTATAAGTGACGTAAAGTAAAATATAAATAAAGCAGACTTGGATCTTGATGCGTGCGGAGTCTTGCAATCTGACCTGAGCCCAGGAAGTCTTGGGCTCATTCCACAGTCGCAGTAATTTCTCACGCAACTTATTTCTTCCCAAAAGGAATGCTTT